GGTGTTCCATGTCTCCTTGCTTAGCAAGTACACGCGCAGCGATATCCCGGGCCGAGAACCGGAGGAGCCGCCTGCGATCGAGGTTGAGGGCGACGAGGAACACGAGGTTGAGCGGATTAAAGATTCGAGAATCTTCCGGCGTCAGCTGCAGTACCTTGTCAAGTGGAAGGGTTATGACGACTCGCATATGTCATGGGAACTGGCGTGCAATGTTGCCAATGTGCCGGCCCTCATAGCCGACTTCCACCAGAAGAACCCAAACACCCCTCATCGCCTCAACGCTGCTATCTTTGGTGGTCTCAACTTCCAGCCAATGCCTTCGCCGCTGACTGAAGCACGTTGCCGCTCCGGATGGGAGATGGGCAAGGGCACCTCGCATGAGGTCATGCACCGTTGAGGGGGGGGTAATGTCACGAGTTGGTACGGCGCCTAGCCGTTTTTTAATTTTTTCTTTTCGCGGGCTCAAACCCGCGACCTCTGTACTACCTGCCTGATATGGACGCGTCACTATCTACTGTACGATTAGATTAGATGGGGCGGCAGCGCATGGCACAGCTCGGGCTCCGCTGACACAGCCTCTCTGACTCACCGGCCCCCGGGGCCGCGTCAGCATGCTGTGCACGGACCAGCTGCGCACGGACCAGTGCGCACAGCCTGCCCTTATCTCCCCATGTATATAAGCCGGCCTCTGCTGCCCTAGGGACCTCAGTTTCGACCTCTTGTCCCTAGGTCAGTAAGCTCTCATGTATCTGCTTATTTACCTATACTAACTAATACATTTCTTGTCCCTAGCCTTAGGTTTGAGCACTGCTCACCATCGCTTTGGTGAGACCCAGTCGAACGCCCCCAGCTTTCTTTAGGTTTTCCCTGTCGCTTGACCCCAAGTCGCGACAGCCGGGTATATCATGTAACAAGTTCAATGTATTGTCTTCTGCAATGGTGTATGAGGTGGACCATGGGTCCCAACATTTCCACATTCCAGTTCGACTCAAAGGGAAAAGACGGCACAAGGACATAATCGCTATGGTGGACAGCGGAGCCACCACGAAGTTTATCAACAAGCAATTCATTGTAGAAAATAAGGTGCAGACGCGGAAATTAAAAGAGCCGATTCCGCTATACAATATTGATGGCACCCTCAACAAAGACAGAAGCATCTCGGAAGTAGCCGTGCTACAGATGCAGATAGGAGAACACATCGAGAAGACAGTGTTTACGGTCATGGACATCAGTCCAAAGGATGTGATCGTTGGGTTGGATTGGCTACGCAAGCACAACCCCGAGATCGATTGGGAGAAAGGCTCCCTAAAATTATCGTGATGCCCTGAAACATGCAGTGCCAGGAGGACTGGCCAAATGGAGCAAGCAGCGACTGCGCGTGACACGGGGGTCAGGCCCACAGCGCGCAGGTGTTTGCCGAAGTCCAAACGGTCGGTCATAGGTGCCTGCTGGAGTAAGGTACTCCCGGACTTCGAACCCAAAGAAGATCCGGTGGAAGTAGAGTGGGATGAAGCCGACTTGATTGAGGCCTGGGAGCAAGGTATTATGCTCCCTGGCGCCCCTCAGCTGTTCGTCGCAGCTGGGCATACGTACTCCCAGTTGTTTGCTGAAGAGGAAATCAAAAAGAAAGTCGTCAAGACCGCTGAGGAGTCGGTGCCCAAGCAGTACCACGAGTTTCTGAAGGTCTTCTCAAAGGAAGCATCAGAACGGCTGCCCGAAAGGAAGCCTTATGATCATGCGATCGAACTCGTGCCCGGCTACTCAATGTTCCATTCGAAGGTGTACCCTCTGTCGAACAATGAGCAGGAGGAGCTTGACAAGTTCCTAAAGGAGCAGCTGGCAAAGGGTTACATACGGGAATCGAAGTCGCCCATCTCGTCCCCCTTCTTCTTCATCAAAAAAAAGGAAGGGACACTTCGACCCGTGCAGGACTACCGCCGGTTGAACGCGATCACGGTGAAAAACCGTTACCCGTTGCCGCTGATCGCCGAGATGGTGGATAAGCTCCACGATGCCACACTTTTTACAAAGTTCGATGTCCGATGGGGATACAACAACGTCCGGATCAAAGCCGGTGATGAGTGGAAGGCGGCTTTTGTGACTAATCGAGGGTTGTACGAGCCCTTGGTGATGTTCTTCGGTCTCACCAATTCCCCTGTGACCTTCCAGGCGATGATGAACGAGATCTTCCATGATCTCATCATTGGTGGCAAGATCCTCATGTACCTGGATGACATACTCATCTTCTCTACCAACAAGGAGGAGCATGAGAAGGTCACACGCGAGGTTCTACGCCGCCTTCAGGATAATGATCTATTCCTGAAGCCTGAGAAGTGCGAGTGGGACGTTCCCAAGGTCGACTACGTTGGCTATGTGTTCGGTGGCGATGAGGTAGCGATGGATCCTGCGAAGCTAAAAGGAATTAATGAGTGGCCG